ACAGCAGCTGAGTTGCCAGCCTGATCACCATTTTGCAATATGCACAATGCCCTGGATCCAGCATTGTTCCAGAGATTTGCAATGGTGTTGGGAACAGGAGAAGAGGATGGTGAAAAAATAAATATTTCGAGGAAAACCCTGCAAAGTAGTTTTCTCTTCCTACAGGGATAGATGAGAGAAAGAATAACTGTGTTTTGATAATGTCTAGAGGGACGGGAATCCTTCTGCTTAATAACTAGCCATCTTAGACTAGGTCTGTTTATGACCTCAATGGATGATTGGAAAAAAGCATTACCTTTTGGCAAATGTATCAATGTATTTGGTGTAGGAAATCAGGTAACGGACATCAGGGGAAGACAGCCGTCTCTCTCTTTGATCTGTACAGCAACATAAAAATGCAACTCAAAACACAGCAAGGAGAACTGACTTTGCTGCTTTTTCAAACCACTAACATGTACATAGCCAGAAAAGAAAAGAAAGTTGCAAAATCATCTTTCAATTTTATTTTATTTTTAAATACCTTTCCCACTCTTCTCGTTTTTTCTTGATTTTCTTTAGCTCACCTATAGCTCCGCTCCAGAAACCAACAGCAACCCCCAAGCTGCTTTTGAGTACTGGATGTTTCCAAGTGCATCCAGTCAACACAAGGGTCTTCTCCAATTACTGCTGCATTTTGGGTGGACGTGGATTGGAGTCCTTTATTTCAGTGTCGCAAGTACAGATATATTTGTACAGAACATGCTTCCCATGTTTTCCCAGAACGGTATCTGCTTTGACTTCATAGAGAAATTTCCCCGAACAGATTTTTCCAGTCAGATAAAAAAAACCTTGCAGAAGGCGATTGAAACATTTAGGGTCATCATGGGAAGCAAAGCCAATGTGGTGGTCTTCCATGGTGAGACTCATACTATGATAGTTTTTAGATATTATATTCAGTATTTACAGTTTTATGGTATATCGGTGAACACCCAGGGTAAATATGGCTTATGACAGCTGAGATGGCTTTCACGTCCCTTCCTCTTCAAAGAAGATGGAATGTAGACATCCTGCATGGTGCACTATCCTTTGCTGTTCACTCAAAAGAGGTGCTGGGGTTCCATAAATTTCTTCAGATGAGAAATCCTGCTTTAGAAAAAGAAGATGGCTTCATCAGGGTCTTCTGGGAAAAGGCATTTGAATGCTTTTTCCCCATATCCATGGTTGACACGGAGGTTGATGAAATCTGCACTGGAGAGGAGAGGCTGGAAACTCTTCCTGCATCTATTTTTGAAATGAGCATGACTAGCCACAGCTACGGTGCCCACAATGCAGTCTATGCTATCGCTCATGCTTTGCATGCCATGCTGTCATCCAGATTCAAGTGCAGAGCAACAGCGGATGAAGGAAAAAGGAAGTTTCTTAATCTACATCCATGGCAGGTAAAGTTCTGAACTTAAAACTATTATAGATCTCACCCTATCCATGGGTGAAGAAACAAACCATCCTTGATTGTTTATAAATTAGTGGTGGGCAATCTGGCTCTGCCTTAATTTGCAATTCCCTCAATGACTTCAGAATCTGACATTATAAACTCACACAGAAGTTGTATTTCATAATTTTATTAGAATTAAAATTTGCTCCAATATGAGGTGGCCTGTGGACCTTTTAAGCCAGGCATAGGCAAACTCTGACCCTCCAGTTGTTTTGGAACTACAATTCCCATCATCCCTAGCTAACATGACCAGTGGTCAGGGATGATGGGAAATGTAGCCCCACAACATTTGGAGGGGCAGAGTTTGCCTATGCCTGTTTTAAGCATTCTGCTCATTATCTTTAACTTCCTTAATTGTACAAGTCTGTCTTGAGAGTCTTGGAAGCAAATATGCCCTATGCACTCTTTACAAGTGAGCCTGTAACTGTCCTTGGGTGTCACTGGGATGTTTTACAAAAAGAAAGGCAGCTTTCATCTATTATTGTATATGTATATTGAATTCTTTTCCTTAAGAATGCATCCTTGACATGTTCCCTTGACATGGTTTTCTCCATGCATTCAAAGCATACATGAAAAGTGGAGTGGTACTATGCGCATTGGCCTCACCACCACCACAAGTGATCATTGTGGTGTAGTGGTTAAGAGCAGTAGTCTTGTAATCTGGGGAACCGGGTTCGCGTCTCCGCTCCTCCACATGCAGCTGCTGGGTGACCTTGGGCCAGTCACACTTCTTTGAAGTCTCTCAGCCCCACTCACCTCACAGAGTGTCTGTTGTGGGGGAGGAAGGGAAAGAAAAATGTTAGCCGCTTTGAGACTCCTTAAAGGGAGTGAAAGGCGGGATATCAATTCCAAACTCTTCTTCTTCATACCCCAGGCACCTCTCTATTCTTTGAAGATATATGAAGCTTTACAGGTGAAGGCTTCTCTGTGCAACTGGGAGCCCTGGTCATGAAAGTTTTCCAAATGATATTTGACTGTATGTCCACAGCTCCCACACTATAATTTTGCCTAATAAGTGGAGGTTTTGGAGGCAGAGCTTATTTGAATGCTCACACAGTTGGGAGAGTCAGCGTAGGGTAAATCAGGGTTTCCCAAACCTGGGTCTCCAGCTGTTTTTGGACTACAGTTCCTATCATCCCTGACCACTGGTCCTGCTAGCCAGGGATGATGGGAGTTGTAATCCAACAACAGCTGGAGACCCAAGTTTGGGAAACCCTGGGGTAAATGAATGGAGACATACAAATGAAGAGTTTTGGTTTAGCACAGAAGAGGATAAGCAGACAATGAGTCCATGCCCTCCTCTTCCCCCCAAGTCTTAACCTTTTTATTAGTTCATCCTTATATAAGCCCAATGATTGGATCAGGGAACAAATCTACCATGACAGCACCTCTTTTATTTGCTCTTCTATATTGCCTCTAATTTGATCATCGGCATTTTTAGGGTGCAAATGTGTTTCTCCCCTCTCTTTAGATGGTCCACTTTCTTAGAAGTGCTACATTTAACAACAGTGCCGGGGATACGATTTCCTTTGACCAAAATGGGGAATTGTTAGGTGGACTTGATATTATCAACTGGGTTACTTTCCCCAACCAGTCTTTCATTAGAGTAAAGGTGGGAAAGATAGACCCTAATGCTCCCACAGACAAAGTGTTTCGCCATTTCAGATGTATCATCATATGGCCTGACAGATTTAACCAGGTAGGACCAGTGGCGACGCTACCTGCTCCGACACTGGGAGTGGCGTACATCCGGGGGCATGGCTGACATGCGTCCCAGGGGGCATGGCACATGTAGTGATATTGGGAAATCTTAGTAGAATAAAACTTTGGCTCATGCAGAAGAAGAGCATTATGGGAGAGCCAAAAAACTGTAGAAAGCTGGGAATGTGTATCTGGGTTTAATTGCAGACTTTCTGTCTCTAGAAGTGTGAACCGGGTTATCTCCTTCATCTGCAGGGAGAAGCTTCTATTTGATTGGTAGTTTTGAGCTCTCGGTGTAGTCTCGGATGTAAGGCTATCAGGCCAAATTTACAACTAGAAGGAATCTGGTGTGTCTCTGGGAATGAGAGGAACACGCTTTAATTCTCAAGGTCCTTATGAATAAATAGACTTCAGCTGTCGAGTCTCCTAACAAGCCTGAGTTATTGTTCCCCCATGTAACCTTTGGTGAATTGCTAATTAATCTAAAGAACTGATTGGCTTCCTAAGTTGTGTACCACAACCCCCCACCCCCCTGTGGGATCCTAAGGGATAAAACTTCAAGAAATTTAGTTGCAAATCGCAGACCATCTTGCCAGGCTTACCATCTTGTCATGCAAAGCCTTTGCTATGCAGAGCAGCCTGCCCTGGGCCTGGGGGCGCGGGACCAGCCGAGACACTCTTTTGAATTGCTAAGCTTTGTATTTCTGTTCCTGCTGTCAGTATGTGCCTAGTCAGTGATATTCTATAATGTTTTTATTTTCTGTTTGAAACCTGTAAGAAATGTGCATGCTTTTATTTTCTGAAATGATCCTTTTTCAATAAATTTGGAAAAGGACTTTTACTTTCTTGTATTCTGTGCATTTTACCGTGGAAGCTGAACCAGTGCCTAATCCACTCAGACGCCTACCAGAGTACCTGTTGGATTTCTGGCTGTGTCACGGTAAAGTGACATAGAGTGGGGCAGTCCGGTAAATACTGAAAGGTGATCCTCCTCTTGGATTCCTTTTGGGGGACTGATCCTGAATAGGAGGTGGTGGAAGCATACTACTGTTTGACTCGTATTCCGCAAACCCTTTCACGTCCCTCTCCCTCTCCCTACCAGGTCTTGTTGGAGTTGGAGGACTGGTGAGGGGGAGTGGATAGCGCGTGTGAATGCTACAGCATGCATCAGGGGGGCTGTGCAGTGAGCATCCCGGGGAGCGGGGCAGCCGCGATGTCACCCCCTGGATGGAACCTGTGGCAGCCGCCCCCCGCCTGCCCCCACCTTCGCCCACCAGTGACTAGGGCCTGTACACACTTCTACATGTATGCACTTAATTTCTGCATTTAAAAAACCTCTCAAAACAAAGCAAAAACAGTTCATTGCCTAGTCCAGTGATGCTGCCAAATTCTGCATGTCAAGTGCTCTGAAAGCGAAGCTGGAAAAGCAACCCCCCCCTTTCATCACCCACTTGCTTATTTAGCTGCATCACTTGGTACTATTCCTCCCACCCCTCAAACAAGATGTATGACTGCATTCTCAAATTGTGAAAATGTTGGGGACTTACAGGATCTAGGAAAGGGGATATTTGAGGAATTTCCTTGATAAACTTATCACAGTAGCTTCCGAAACTCTGTCCAGCCAGCAGCCACTAGACTAATTTTTCACAAAATACATTGGTAGGCACAAATAAATGGCAACCCCTTCTTCTTCAGCCGCCCATTTCTTAAGAAAACATCGCAAAGCTTTCAGAACACTATTTTCCCGTAACTGTTAAAACAAGCCCCTCTTTCATTTACCAACAGGCCCAACCTCTTTCTCTATGCAATGACAAAATGCTCTTTGGGTTACAGAAGAAAGAAGAAAGAGGGAAAGCCACCTTGTTGCTATGATTGTCTTCCATGTCCAGAAGGAAAGGTATCAAACCAGATAGGTAAGAATTGATATTTTTTTTAATGGAATATGTCAAGTATTTGGGCATACAGTTGTATTAGAAATTCATTTCACTCAGGTCTAAAAATTCATTCAAAGTGGGAAAATTATTAGAGGCCATACAGAAAATATGGTTGTTTCAGAATGGCCAGGGATGACATAAATGGATACCCATAATTTGGGAATTATTTGTGTGCGTAGTAAGGTTGACCAAAATGCTCATATCAGCCATCTCTCTCTTTGTTTGGTGACTATAAAGAGTATATAATGTTGATTACATATAACAATGTCTGGATGTGCTGGTAAGAATCTTTTTAAACTGCATGCAGACTTTATAGGGTCTAAAGTCGAAGTGGACTTATTTTTGGTTATTTATTTATGTATGCTATATTGTTACAGAAAGGAGAATATACATTTTACATACTTGGGTCTTCCTGGTGGTTTAATTATTTTTTTGGGAGATCCTTTTGTGTTTAGGAATTATATCTACAGTCTATCTATATACATACACATTATAGGTGTTCAAAAGCCCAAGGTAGTTGAATGTGCATGTGTACTCCATTTCCCTCCCTCCCTCCCACCCCCTCCATGCTGCCCCGGGTGCTGGCAACCCCTGCTATGCCACTGAAGCACATTGAGTCAAATGCACCTGGAATACCCCTTTGCCTGCTTCAATATATGATGTAACAGTGAGTGGGCATGGTCAACATGCACAGGGATATGGGAGATGGGACCAGTGCATTCATGACCAGTCCCCTACATATTTTAAGCCCATAACTACATCTGTAAGGAGACATTGCATGTTAGGAAATCGACTCTAATTATGAAACAAATGTCATCATTAGTATGCTAGGCCTGAAGAGACAGGAGAACATTCACTGGCTTTGTTTTACTTTTCTTTTTCAGACATGGATGTCTGCTTTCAGTGTCAAGAAGATCATTATCCAAATAATAACAAAACTTTTTGCATTCCAAAATATATAACTTTCTTGTCCTATGAAGAATCTTTAGGCTACAGCATTGCCATTTCTGCCCTCACTTTTTCTTTCTCCACAGTTTGGGTGCTTTGGATCTTTGTTAAGCACCGAAACACTCCCATCGTCAAAGCCAACAACCGGAACCTCACCTACACTCTCCTCATCTCCCTCATTCTCTCTTTCCTTTGTGCTTTGCTATTTATAGGCCAACCTGGAAAGCTGACCTGCCTCCTTAGACAAGCTGCATTTGGCATCATCTTCTCAGTGTCAATTTCTTGCATCTTGGCCAAAACTGTCATTGTGATTCTCGCTTTCATGGCCACCAAGCCAGGATCCAATATGAGGACATGGATGGGGAAAGATCTGGCCAGCTCCATTGTTCTATGCTTCTCCTTTATTCAAGCCACCATTTGCACAGTGTGGCTGGTAACTTCTCCTCCATTCCCAGATATGGACATGCACTCCATGACTAAAGAAATTATACTGGAGTGTAATGAAGGTTCCACTATCATGTTCTACTCAGTCCTGGGCTTTATGGGCTTCCTGGCCATTGTCAGCTTTGCTGTGGCCTTCCTAGCCAGGAAGTTGCCTGACAGCTTCAATGAAGCCAAGTTCATCACCTTCAGCATGATGGTGTTCTGCAGTGTTTGGTTGTCTTTTATTCCAACCTACCTGAGCACCAAGGGGAAGTACATGGTGGCTGTGGAGATCTTCTCTATCTTAGCCTCCAGCTTGGGGCTACTGGGTTGCATCTTTCCCCCAAAATGTTACATCATTTTGATGAGACCAGAACTGAACAACAAAGAACAACTTATGAGGAAAAAAGTAAAGAATTTTAAGCCCAAATAGTCTCAAGCCAGCTCTGTGAATCAAATTTACGATTCAAGTCTATTTTCAATGTAAACCTAATCACACCTGTAGGGAAATCATGTTGAACTCAAAGTAATTTACTTCCTATTAAACATAGGTTGAAATGGTGCATTCCCTTGTAGTAAATGGCACTTTATTGTTTGATTCAGTTATTTCCATTGAAAATCATGATTAATTTTAATTGCACTGGGAGCTAAGTTTCCTTCCTTCCTTCCTTCCTTCCTTCCTTCCTTCCTTCCTTCCTTCCTTCCTTCCTTCCTTAATTTGGTGACTTAGTCCACCTTTCATCCGTTGATGACAGGGTGGGATAAAGGTTGGTTGGCATCCATCTCTTTGAGAGACAATAGGGAGGGCATCCAGAGGTGAAATCAAACCACTGCGTTAGCAGCACCAAAACGACTTACCTGGGGCATGAACCTGAATGGTGTGCATGGAGTGTCTTTGAATCAAATTTACGATTCAAGTCTATTTTCAATGTAAACTTAATCACACCTGTAGGGGAATCATGTTGAACTCATAGTAATTTACTTCCTATTAAACATAGGTTGAAATGGTGCATTCCCTTGTAGTAAATGGGACTCTATTGTTGATTCAGTTATTTCCACTGAAAATCATGATTAATTTTAATCATCATTTTCAGATCAGAAAATGTCATGTGAGCTGCTGTTAGTTAGTGGGCCAAGTTTCCATTAAGTCAGCTATGATTAGGGTAGGGAAATATTGTATCAATGAATTCCTAGAAAGATTGTAGCCTGCTGTATTATTTAATTCTAGCAAGTTTAGATGCCTATATATCTTAATATTTGGACATAACCAAAATATAAGGTATGTACTAATTTTGCACCACTAGTTTCACATTTTAGGGAATTTCATTTAGTTTTGCTGCCATACAATATCATCACATATCAATTTATGAAGGCTTTTTGCAAATTTAGGAACTTTAAACTGCTTTTTAGTTTCCCAGGTTTTTTCCTCTCTTTCCCTTTTCATGTGATATTGATGTCATTTTATTTTCAGGTGTTATGTACATAAACTAAGTTTCATTCTCGGTGTTGCACAGACCATTTCTGAATCTATACACATCATCAATGAGTTTAGTTTTTATATATGTACACTAGTCAGATCTTCTGAATGTTGGGAATTAGAAAATTAGAAAAAAGGAAAAAAAAACTCTTCCATTTGATCATGTGATATGAATCAAACAGCCCCTTTATGCACTTGGTTGAAGTTCTGTTAAGGCATGCAAGTTTGCATCTCCCTTTATTGCAACAAGTCACAGATGGATTAACCTTTTTTTTTTTTTTTACCCTGATGGAGCACCTGAACCTCTGTTGGCTGTGACTACCACACAACCATTCAATTGCATCAAGGCACACACCCCTCTCCTCTGCTGCATTCCACCCCAGTCTCTGAGCAGTGTGAGATTCCAGGGGCTCCAGCTTCCTTCCTTGGACTGAGGGACAGTGGATACTGTGGTGTTCTCATCCCCCAAAGCCAGCTATCCATCATCTGCATAGAAACTTTTTGGGAACACCCCCAAAACAACTCTTGTTGAGGAATCCGTGTAAGGAAACTTGTGTATAGGTTTCATAACATGCAGCAGACCCTTAACACAATCAGTTCAAACAGATTGCAGGCAATGTGATGTTAAGATTTTCTGTGTTGAAGTTCAATCATGCAAGTAGAAATCATTTCACAACCGCAATCCCTTTGTCAGATGCAACTCCAAGTCTGTATATCTACAGGCCGAATGCAAAAGTAAAAGAAACCAACAGTCTTCTTCATCATCCACCAATCCACATTTTACATTTGGCGACCTAGAAGCAAGCCATCTTTATGTTTCTGTGCAAATAATTTAGAAACATTTATCAATTTGGAAGCTAAGTGTCTTTTCTTACTGTTGTATGGAAAAAATCCAACAGAACTTTGAAGTGTTTTCAAGTAAACCACTTTAAACTTGCCAGACATGTGGTCGCTTTCTATGTTAAGGAATGTAGGGAACTTTGGAAGCAACTTTGAAGGGGATTTTTAAAAAGGTCTAACAGCCTATATTTTCATGCTTCTCACCCCTGATATTAATGCACTGTCAGCCCTTCATGGACCAGATGACAGTGGTGGAACGTGTCCAGAGGAGGGCAACCAAAATGGTCAAAGGCCTGGAAAGGATGCCTTATGAGGAATGGCTAAGGGAGCTGGGCATGTTTAGCCTGGAGAAGAGGAGGTTAAGGGGTGATATGATAGCCATGTTCAAATATATAAAAGGATGTCACATAGAGGAGGGAGAAAGGTTGTTTTCTGCTGCTCCAGAGAAGCGGACACGGAGCAATGGATCCAAACTACAAGAAAGAAGATTCCACCTAAACATTAGGAAGAACTTCCTGACAGTAAGAGCGGTTCGACAGTGGAATTTGCTGCCAAGGAGTGTGGTGGAGTCTCCTTCTTTGGAGGTCTTTAAGCAGAGGCTTGACAACCATATGCCAGGAGTGCTCTGATTGTGTTTCCTGCTTGGCAGGGGGTTGGACTCGATGGCCCTTGTGGTCTCTTCCAACTCTATGATTCTATGATTCTATGCAGCTGACATCATTGTACACACTCTCACTGACATATTGGAAAACACAAGAATCTCTACCCCCATCCTAGCACTGTGTTTCGGGGGTGGGGGTTGTCCATGCAGCAACCCCTAAATTCAGAAGGATCATAGGGGCCGGTGTTAGAAGAGAATCAGGAAAATATGTGTGAGACTCCAGATCAAGTGTTAGTTAGCTATCCCTATAGTAAACTTTCCCCAAATACTGATGGAACAGATTTAGGAGAGTGTGACCAATGGGGTAAGAAAATCAAAGATGTGGGTAGAAAAGCAAGAAGGTATTACAGGTTCTCAATTCACCTGTCATTCTCGCAATAAATCTAATGCACAAGGGTGACCAAGACTATAGCCAAGCTGGAACACGGACTGAAATCAGTCCAGAACACCAGCTTCATCAAGGGCACATGCAATTGTTCCAACGCCATCTTCTTGATCACATTCCCTGAAAGGGGGGTATGTGTGACTGGGTGCCCCACAAAATGTGCTACCTGATGAGATATGCCTCAGAATCCCTAACTGTAAGTAAGTACCATCCCTGTGGAAGAAGAAGCTCTCAGGAGAATCACATGAAGTGCATTCAAGCACACACCATAACAGAAGACACAAACTTTGGTCAAACCATTCTCTTTATTATCTGCTCCTTTTTGTTTAGATCAGGCCTCAGCACAATAATGTAGCATTTGAGGAAAAAGACGCAACCCAGTAATCCTGCCCCAGAAGCCAAGATGGAGAAGATCTCCACAGCCACCATGTATTTTCCTTTGGTGCTCAGGTAGGTTGGGAAGAAGGATAACCATACACTGCAAAACAATAACATGCTGAAGGTAATTGACTTAGTTTCCTGGAAACTGCCTGGTAAATTTCTGGCTAGGAAAGCCACAGTAAAACTGACGGTAGCTAAGAAGCCCATGAAGCCCAGCACACAATAAAACATGACATCAGATCCTGCATTGCATTGTACAATTGTTTCACTAACCGCTGAATGCGTATCATACTCTGGGAATGGGGGAGAGGTTCCCAGCCAGACAATGCAAAGAGTGGCTTGAAGAAGGGAGCATGAAGTAACAATGGAGGCAGCCACCCTTTTCCCCATCCATTTCCTCATTTTGGATCCTGGCTTGGTGGCCTTAAAAGCTAGAATCACAGTGATGGTTTTGGCCAACATGCAAGAAACAGTGACTGAGAAGATGATGCCAAAAGCAGTTTGTTGAAGGAGGCAGGTCACCGTATTGGGTTGACCAATGAATAAAAAAGCAGAAAGGAAAGAGAGCAGGAGGGAGACGAGGAGAGCATAGGAAAGGCTCCGGTTATTGGCTTTGATGATGGGTGTCTTATGGTGCTTCATAAAGGTTCCCAGCACCAGAACAGTAATGAATGAAAGGGAGAGAGCAGCAATGGCCAAACCTTTTTCCCAAAGGATCTTCATAAGACAAGAATGTTATAGCTTTGGGGAGGCAGAAATCCCTGTTAATATTTGGATAATGGCCCTCTGGACACTGAATGCATCCATCCATGTCTGGAAGAAATGAAGGTGAAATTCCTGAACATTTAGCTTCATTTGGTGAAAGTGACACATGCCTTGATTCATCCTCTTCAGATTACTGTAACAAACTCTATGTGGGGCATTAGTTAGAACAGCTCCACTGACTCCCGGTCTGTTTTCAGGCACAATTCAAAGTGCTGGTTATGACCTATGAAGCCCCAGATGGTTGATGTCCAGGCTATCTGAAAGACCCTATTCCCTCATGCAAACCGACTAGGCCTTATATCTACTAGCACTTAATTACATTCTAATGTTTGCTTTTCTCTATTTTTAGCTTGTTCTGTTTCATCTGTTTAAGACACCTTGGTTCCTGGATTGGGGGAAAGGCAGGATATAAATAACTATAACAGGAATTATAATATAAACAAAACTTACACTAATTGTTCCATTCACTTTTGTGCCTGGCCATGCCCATCACTGGCATGTTAAATATAATCGGTTTAATTAACACTGAAGTGGGAATGGCTATGTGTATTAATGAAGGCTTTAACATAGTGCTATATTGAAGCCAAGAATAGGACTCTGAGCTCTGAGTTGATAATTACCGTATTTTTCGTCCCATAGGACGCTCCGTCCCATAGGACGCACCTAGTTTTTTGGGGGGGGAAATAAAGGAAAAAATTTGCGCACCGACCCCTCTCGCTCTCCAAGCTTCAGAGAAAAACTTTATTTGCCTCATAGGACACACACAGATTTCCCCTTCATTTTTGGAGGGGAAAAAGTGCGTCCTATAGGGCGAAAAATACGGTAACTTGTTTCTGCTATCTAACATGTAAGTGTTTAACCTAAGATGTTTAAGGTATTGAATCACAAATTGCCATTTTGAAGGGCGCTGCCTTTAGTTCTTTG